CTGTGCATATCAGATTCTCATGTTCTAAAGCTCTTCCATTTAATCTTGTAACTCGAGAGAATCGTTCTAGACCTTTACTACAAAATTAAACATTTGGGCCAGCATTAAACCATTCAAAACCATTCAACCTGTTCCACCATCCAATAAAGTGCGCCCATGGAGAATATAAACTCAAACTGCAAGAGGATGGGACGTATATAGGCGGACACTTAACAGAGACAAATCTAAAGACAGAAAGCACCTGACAGGCAGAGAATTCGAGAGCCAGATTCAAGTAGTGCCACAGGGAGTGGGACTAAAAATGCTAAAAACAGTTCTTAAGGCCTTGTACGTTAATGTGCAGAGCATTTATAATAAAATGGATAAATTAGTTATGCAAATAGATCTAAGTACTCTTGAAACAGTGGGCATTATGGAGACATGGCTGCAGGGTGACCAGGAATGGGAATTGAACATTCGGCGGTTTTCAGTTTTTGAGAAAGGCCAGACAATAAGGAAAAGGAACTGCTGATTATAAAGGAAACTAATGTGGCTGTGACAAAGCTCTGGCAAAGTAGAATCTGTACAGTTTGAGCTTATAAACACCCAAGGGGCAGAAGGTAATAGTAGGGATGGTATATGGACTCCGTAACTGTGACAGTAACATTGGGGAAGAATTTGAAAAGGAAATTAGAGATGTAAGTAATAAAGGGAAGGCAGTAATAATGGGTGACTTCAATCTGTAGAACACATCCAGCAAATCAAATCAGCAGAACACCATTAGGAATGAATTGTTGGCGAGTTTTATGAATCGATAAAGCCATTCTTGATTGGGCATTGCATAAAAGGCACTGACAAATTGGGTATAGTCCCTTAGGGAAGAATGACCACAACAGCACAGAATTCTTCAATACAGTGGAGACTGACATAATTGTTTCTGAGACTTGAGTCCTGAGTTTAAACAAAGGAAACTAGGATGGTATCAGGCGTGAGTTGGCTACGATAAACTAGGGATCATTATTTGGAGATGACAGAAGAAAAGTAAGGGCAAACATTTAGAGAATGCATGGATGAATGACAAAGGTTATTAATTCCAGTCAGCATAAAAATAAAACTGGAAACGTGGTCAGACCATGGCTAACAAGGGAAATTAGGGACATGGTAAAATCCAAACAGAAATACAAATCACCAACAAAAGAAAGATTGAGAACAGAGATAGTAGGAACTGCAGATGCTGGAGAATCCGAGACAACAAGG